CTCTAGTGATTAGCTTGAACAATTGTATCCCACGCGCGGTGTGTGTTCGTTTATGTTTCCGTGTGCGTGTGTGTGTTGTGTGTGTGTGTGTATATGTGTGCGTGCGTGCGTGCGTGCGTGTGTGTGTGTGTGTGTGTGTGTGTGTTGTGTGTGTGTGTGTGTGTGTGTGTGTGTGTGTGTGTGTGTGTGTGTTGTGTGTGTGTGTGTGCGTGTGTGTGTGTGTGTGTGTGTGCGTGCGCGCGCGCGCGCGTGTGTGTGAACCACAAAAATAAAAACATAGAAGGGAGAACTGTTCGAATTATGCAGACTTTATCATATATGTCCCTCAAATTATATAATCTCAAATTAATGCATATCTGCCTGTCGACTGCACGTAGTAACAAGAAAGATGGGGACACTTGCACACTGGTTGTTGGGGGTGTTAATGTATCACGGGGAACACTATCCAGAAGGCCATAGAATCAGAATAGATCTAGGATACTTCGGTGCGGGGATTATGCGATGCCAGAACGCCATAGCACCTCGCAGGGATAAAGAGGCCGTTTGTAAGCGGCTGCAATGTCGCGGGGACGATGCTCTGTCGAACTGTCAGGGATACGTTGCAGTTGGTTGTTTGATGAAAATAAGATGAAGCGAAGATATTACAGAAAATCAAAAGTTTTTAGAACCATTTCAGTGACAAACAATCTCATTGCTCAACAAGGATTACCGTTAATTTTGCTTTTTGTTCCAGACATTGTAAACCTGTCCTGTTGGATGCTTTCTGTGAACTTGGTGGAGCTCGTGATTCAGGGACAATCATTGCTGCTTCTTTTGGCCTTTTACAGTGAGCAGCAGCAGCTGAGGGCCGTCAGCTCCTGATATCCCCCTAAGGCATACTTCACGGCATTGTTTGTTCGTGAGTTACCCCCCCCCCCACCTCCAGATCTTTACCACTTGGATGCTGATGTAAAGAATGAATGCTGTGGAAAGAAAAATGCAGAACTGCACCACCAATAGTACTGATAATAATAATAATAATGATAATAATAATATAATAATAATAATAATAATAATAATAATAATAATAATAATTAATATTATTATTATAATTATTATAATAATAGTGATAATAACAGTAGCAATGGCAATAAGGACAAGTATGATGATAATAATAGTCGGCATAATAGCAATGAAAATGGTGATAATCGTAATATTAGTGTGGATCATAGCAAAATTATCATAATGAGACCCAAAACTGCCAAGGTCAGAATTATCATGGGAGTGCCAGATGAGGTGACATAATTCTTTTACCACAGGCAAGTGGAATATATGATTGTTGCGATATCAAAACTAGAGAAAAACAACTATGAAACAGTTATTATCGAGTAAGGAAAAACGTTGTCATAGAATAAAATGGAGAAATGTGAGGACTATAAAAATAAGTAAAACAAAGTTGACGGGCTTTGCTGAACGAGCATGAAATAACAAAATAAAAATATGAAAATGACAAACAATATTTGGAGAGGTGACCCGCTACAGTATATAGGTGGAATTTTAAACACAAGCAGGCGCATCTAAAAGTTACGAGAAAGCCGCGGCAAAATGTTGCAAAACTTCTTAAACAAACAGGACATAAAGAAACAAAAAGTAAAATATCCAGAATAAAGCAAGATATGATTATGTGAGCTGGGAACCGATGGATTACGTAATGTGCAGTGAAATTTAATTAAACCATAAATCAAACTAAAACAACGGTTCAGTGAAATGGAACATCTCGAAGAGAATGAATAAGAAATTTCATATCCGCATTGTAAAGGGCAACAGATGTATCATTCCCTTAGCGTGTATGTCTCGTATGTGTTTAGAGTCAAACAGCAGTGATAGGTCTTAGTGTAGGACCTATGGAAGAGGAATTCTATGACGTTTTCTGGTGAACAGCATCTGACGAATTTGATGAACTGAACGGATAAAAAATGTACGGACGTTACCCAGCGGATGTAGCGCGGACAATTCCATGTGTGAAGGAATTAAATTATAATAATGACAGTGGTAATTGTGATGGAAATAATAGTAATAATGACCAAAAAAAAAAAAAAAAAAAATAATGGCAATAATAAAAATGACAATGCGAATAATAATAAAAAGATAACATGAATGAAAAATGACAACAATGACACCATCAACAACAATAATGATGATCATGATGATAATAGTATTAATGATGATGATGATGAAGAGGATAATAATAATAATAATAATAATAATAATAATAATAATAATAATAATAACAATAATGATAGCAATGATAATAAAGATTGCATTAGTAACAATAATAATAATAATGACAGTAATAATAATCATAATGATAATAATAATGGAAATAATAATGGTAATATATGATTTGTATATAATAATAATGATAAATAATAATAATAATAATAATTAACATCATATTAAAAAATAAAATAATAATAATGATATTAATAATAATAATGATAGTAAAAGTAATAATAATAATAATAATAATAATAATAATAATAATAATAATAATAATAACAATAATGATAACCATAATGATAATAATAATTGTCATTATGATAATATTAGTAATAAAATAACAATAACAATAACAACAACAACAACAACAACAACAACAACAATAATAATAATAATAATAATAATAAGAATAACAATGATAATAATAATAGAAATAAAAATAATGATAATAACAGCAGCAACCATAATAGCAATGAGAAAAAAATGATGACTATGATGATAATTATAACAACAATATGATAATAATAATAATAATAATGATGCTACTTCTGCTGCTGCTATTGATAATAACGATGGTGATAAAAATACAAATAATAAAGTTACCAGCAATCATCATCATTGTAATCATAGATATGATAATAATAATGATAATATTAAAATGATAATGATTATAAATGATTATGATCATGATGGTAATGATAATTATAATAGTAATAATGAAAATAATGAAAACAACAACAATAATAATAATAATTATTATCTATTATTATTATCATTATTATAACAACAATAATGATAATAATAGTAATAATAATGATTGTAATAATAATAATAGTAATAATAATGATTGTAATGATAATAATAGTAATGATAATGATTTAATGATAATAATAGTAATAATAATGATTGTAATGATAATAATAGTAATAATAATGATTGTAATAATAATAATAATATAAATTATATTGATAAGAATAATGGCAATAGTAATAACAATAACAGTAATAATAACAATAATGTTTTAATGATAACAATGATAAGGATCGTGATAATGAAAATTACGGAACCAAATCTATTACTGACGTTCTGTTCCAGCCCGTATGCTTGTCTCCACACACCTCATCTGACTTGGGCTTTGATATAACCACCACATGATGCTGTCCATGTTATATCCGCAAGTTAATGTCCACACAGTTTTTTGCTCGCTGACTTCTACAAGTCTGCCAGCTACTATCCACAAGCTATTGTCTGCACAAGGAAACGTCCTTACACCGGAGAAGGAGAAGGAGAAAGAACATTATTACAAACAGAATTTCGGTACCAGAGTAATTGATGCTTGAATCATATCAGTTATACTGTATTATATTATCAACCACAAACCATAATGCTGATGGCCAATGTTTTGGCTACAGCGTCCTTCCCTCCTTGTGAGACGGTGACTTTCCTGTTGATGGATAATTTGCGTTGCTCTTCATATATTTTCGCAGCCATTTTGAAGCCATTGAGTTGTTAGTCCGCGACAGGTCTTTATTTCCCGTACATGCTCCATTGAATATACGGGAACTGCCCTAGGATGTGTGTTTTTTTCGCTGGCCTACATGTGTTTTGAAAATATCGATTTAACTCCAAGGCAACAGTACGCTTTGGAGCTCCATGTGCAATAATCATGGCTCGCTGGGCAGGTGGTACAAACGCAAGAGCAAGCAACCGCCGAACGTGCAGGAAAACGGCAGGATCTTCCCTGTAATTTGGGGCCAGGCTGTTCCTGAATTCCTATCCAGGTTGACTCCCTCTTCCCTTCCCCGATCATACCACCCCTCCCTTACCCATTCCCTTCCATCCCCTACATCGGGCCTCCCCCTTCCTCTTCCTCCCTCTATCTCCTCTTCCTTATCCCTCTATTTCTTTTCCTCTCTCTCCTCCTCCTGCTCCCTTTATCTCCTCTTCCTACTTCCTAGGGATGAGGAGTAGGAGAGAAAGGAAGAGAGATAGAGGGAGGGGAGGAGAGAGAGGAAAAGAGATAGAAGTATGACGAAGAGTAGAGATGGGAAGAGAGATAGAGGGAGGAGCAGGAAGGAGGCCCCGGAGGCGTCGACGAACCCGATAAGGAAGCCCCAGAGACCGAACGACGAGCCTGAGGCCCCGGATGCTGTCGACGAGCCCGAGAAGGAGGCTCCGGAGGCCGTCGACGAGCCCGAGAGGGAGGCCCCGGAGGCCATCGACGAGCCCGAGAAGAAGCCCCGGAGAACGACGAGGCGAGGCCCCGGATGCTGTCGACGAGCCCGAGAAGGAGGCCCCGGAGGCCGAACGAGGCCCCGGACCGTCCACGAGCGAGAAGGGGGCTCCGGAGGCCGTCGCCAAGCCCGAGAAGGAAGCCCGGAGGCCATCGACGAGCCGAGGCCCGGAGCTGAACGAAGGAGGCTCCGGAGCCGAACGACGAGCCGATAAAGAAGCCTGGGAGACCATCGACGAGCCCGAGGCCCCGGATGCTGTCGACGAGCCCGAGAAGGAGGCCCCGGAGGCCGTCGACGAGCCGAGAAGAGGCCCGAGGCCTGTCGACGAGCCCGAGAAGGAGGCTCCGGAGGCCGTCGACGAGCCCGAGAAGGAGGCTCCGGAGGCCGTCGACGAGCCGGAGGAGGCTGTCGACGAGCCCGAGAAGGAGGCCCGGAGGTCGAAGGCCTTCGACGAGCCCGAGAAGGAGTCCCCGGAGGCCATCGAAGAACCCGAGAAGGAAGCCCCGGATGCCGAACGACAAACCCAAGGACCCGGATGCTATCGACGAGCCCGAGAAGGAGGCTCCGGAGGCCGTCGACGAGCCCGAGAAGGAGGCTCCGGAGGCCGTCGACGAGCCCGAGAAGGAGGCCCCGGAGGTCGAACGACGAGCCGAGAAGGAGACGACGAGCCCGAGGAGGAGTCCCCGGAGGCCATCCCCGAGAAGGAAGCCCCGGATGCCGAACGACCCCGAGGCCGGATGCCGACGAGCCCGAGAAGGAGGCTCCGGAGGCCGTCGACGAGCCCGAGAAGGAAGCCCCGGAGGCCATCGACGAGCCCGAGGCCCGGATGCTGACGAAGGAGGCTCCGGAGGCCGAACGACGAGCCCGATAAAGAAGCCCGGGAGACCATCGACGAGCCCGAGGCCCGGACGACGAGCCCGAAAAGGAGCCCCGGGGCCGTCGACGGAGGCCGTCGACGAGCCCGAGAAGGAGGCCCCGGAGGCCGTCGACGAGCCCTCCGGAGGCCGTCGACGAGCCCGAGAAGGAGGCTCCGGAGGCCGTCGACGAGCCCGAGAAGGAGGCCCGAGGACCATCGACGAGCCCGAGAGGGAGGCCCCGGAGGCCATCATCGAGCCCGAGAAGGAAGCCCGGAGGCCGAACGACGAGCCCGAGAAGGAAGCCCCGGAGGCCGAACGACGAGCCCGAGAAGGAGGCTCCGGAGGCCGTCGACGAGCCCGAGAAGGAGGCTCCGGAGGCCGTCGACGAGCCCGAGAAGGAGGCTCCGGAGGCCGTCGACGAGCCCGAGAACCGGAGACCATCGACGAGCCCGAGAGGGAGGCCCCGGAGGCCATCATCGAGCCGAGAAGGAAGCCCGGAGGCCGAACGACGAGCCCGAGAAGGAAGCCCGGAGCCGAACGACGAGCCCGAGAAGGAGGCTCCGGAGGCCGTCGACGAACCGACCGGAGGCCGTACGAGCCCGAGAAGGAGGCCCCGGAGGCCGAATGACGAGCCCGAGGCCCCGGATGCTGTCGACGAGCCCGAGAAGGAGGCTCCGGAGGTCGTCGACGAGCCCGAGAAGGAGGCTCCGGAGGCCGTCGACGAACCCGAGAAGGAAGCCCCGGAGGCCGAACGACGAGCCCGAGGCCCGGATGCCGTCGACGAGCCCGAGAAGGAGGCTCCGGAGGCCGTCGACGAGCCCGAGAAGGAGGCCGGAGGCCGTCGACGAGCCCGAGAGGGAGGCCCCGGAGGCCATCGACGAGCCCGAGAAGGAAGCCCGGAGGCCGTCGACGCCGAGAAGGAGGCTCCGGACGACGACGAACCCGAGAAGGAGGCTCCGGAGGCCGTCGACGAGCCCGAGAAGGAGGCTCCGGAGGCCGTCGACGAGCCCGAGAAGGAGGCCCCGGAGACCATCGACGAGCCCGAGAAGGAAGCCCCGGAGGCCGAACGACGAGCCCGAGAAGGACGGAGGCCGTCGACGAGCCCGAGAAGGAGGCTCCGGAGGCCGTCGACGAGCCCGAGAAGGAGGCTCCGGAGGCCGTCCGAGAAGGAGGCTCCGGAGGCGTCGACGAGCCGAGAAGGAAGCCCGGAGGACCATCGACGAGCCCGAGAAGGAGCCCCGGAGGCCGAACGACGAGCCCGAGGCCCCGGATGCCGTCGACGAGCCCGAGAAGGAAGCCCCGGAGGCCGAACGACGAGGCCGAGGCCCCGGATGCTGTCGACGAGCCCGAGAAGGAGGCCCCGGAGACCATCGACGAGCCCGAGGCCCCGGATGCCGTCGACGAGCCCGAGAAGGAAGCCCCGGAGGGCCGAACGACGAGGAGGCCCCGGATGCTGTCGACGAGCCCGAAAAGGAGGCCCCGGAGACCGTCGACGATCCCGAGGCCCCGGATGCTGTCGACGAACCCGAGAAGGAAGCCCCGGAGGCCGAACGACGAGCCCGAAGGCCCCGGAGGCTGTCGACGAGCCCGAAAAGGAGGCCCCGGAGGCCGTCGACGAGCCCGAGAAGGAGGCTCCGGAGGCCGTCGACGAGCCCGAGGCCCGGATGCCGTCGACGAGCCCGAGAAGGAAGCCCGGAGACCATCGACGAGCCGAGGCCCGGATGCTGTCGACGAGCCCGAAAAGGAGGCCCCGGAGGCCGTCGACGAGCCCGAGAAGGACTCCGGAGGCCGTCGACGAGCCCAGCCCCGGACACACACACACACACACACACACACACACACACACACACACACACACACACACACACACACATATATATATACATATATATATATATATATATATATATATATATATATATATATATATATATACACACACATACACATATATATATATATATATATATATATATATATATATATATATATATATATATATATATATATATTATATATATATATATATATATATATATATATATATATATATATATATATATATATATATATATATATATATATATATATATAATATATATATATATATATATATATATATATATACATATGTACACACACACACATATACATTCCACGCGCACACCGCCGTCTGCATGTGTGAACAAGAGACCCGAGGGCCGGGAGGACAGGACTGGGAGTCGCCTGACTGGGCTGCTCTGTGCCAGCTCTTTCGAGGAGGCGACCGGGATTGCTCTGGTAAAGCTATCGCTCACACAAACTTATATGTTATATATATATATATATAAAGGATGATGATGACGATGATGATGGTGACGATGATGATGATGACGATGACGATGACGATGACGATGATGATAACGATGACGGTGACGATGACGATGATGATGATGATGACGATGATAAGATGATGATGATGGCGATGGTGATAAGGATGATGATGATGAATATATACATACATACAATGATAATGATAACAACTAGTGATAATCGAACCCGCTAATTGCAAAATTAATCATTTACCAGAACGAGTGTTAGTATAGTCTCTAATTATTTCTTTTGAAGAGCTTGATACTTGTAGTTTACAATAATAGTGATCATTATTATCACTATTATACTACAATAATAATAACAGTAATAATGATAATAATTTGTATAATAATAATAGTAATGATGAAAAAATAATGATAATGATAAAATACAATACTGATACTAATACTAATATTAACGAAATTACTATTATTACTACTATTATTACTATTACTATTAATGATAATGATAATTATAATAACGATGATAATAAAAATGATGATGATGATGATGATGATGATGATAACAACAATGAAAATGAGGATGACAATAAAAACAGCAACTACAATAGCTATGATATTAATCGAAGTCGCTGTTTGCAACATTAATCCTTTACCACAACGTGTTAGTGTAGTCTTATTTTTCTTAATAAGGGCTAAAAGGTGTAATTAGCATTATACAGTTTAATTATTCCTCTATATGATGTCAAAGTCGTATAAACTATCCTCCTAAGATAATGCCTCAATAAACAGTCAATACTGCGGACTTAAGTTTTAGCTTTCATTATTTTGTTGCCGGAAATGTGATTATGAAGTACTATATATGGTAATCCTAAGAGTTACACAGCAATTTTACAGGTATTGGCATTAATGTTTGTGGGAAAGGGAGTCTTTCAAGCCGAATCTTAAAACTGTAATCGTACTTTCAACAAACTTACGGTTAATTTGAAGCATACATTTTGTTTATGGTATCGAGATGATAAATGTCACAAAAGAGAAAGCCCTGTTTTTATATGCTTTCCTGCGATTCAAACTGGCTATTTTATTGGGTGGGATCTTTGAGTTCCGGGAAAAGATCCCAGTCATTAACGAAACATGGTATCCAGTTTTAGATTTCTGACACGCAGGATGTGGGATGGTTAATCCTTTGTACCTTTTTTTCGGCATCCATGAATATTTGTGAGATAACTTTTTGCTTTACACATGATCTATGAGCCCCTAGCTGCTTGCAGATTAGATGGACAAGTTGAATAAAATCTCGTGGCAGCATCCAGACTTTATTGAGCCAACCTGGAATCCTCAATCTAGTAAGTATTCATGCAACAATTAAGAGAAACAAAGAAGAAATATAACAGGTTGCACCTAAGTGAATCACTGAGACATATTTGCCAAATAATTTATAATATGAACACATGGAAGGAAGAGCTACATTAATAATAGAAATGTCGTTGAATAGCACATGGAAATGAAGAGCAGTAAAATCACAAGTAAAGATGCATTGACTTACAGGCTACATTAACAATAGATCTAAAACCCAAGGCTCTCACAAGCAGAGATTAACATTACCTTAGATGATGTCGATTTTTACCCTAGATTTCAGCAAATTACCTTAGAACTGTTGGAGCATATCCTTGAAAATTAAATTAGTTTTTTGTTGAAAATATGATTTCGTATTTAACAAACGTGAATTTTCTTTCTTCGCAATACTTTTAATGGCAATTGCACGACTGGACAGGTCTAGCTTTAGGTAACAATCAACCATAATACGCATATGAGGTTTTTTTTTCTTTTTTTTAGGCTACATCACCATTATAGCATAGTGGAATCATTAGGAAAATTTCGACATTAAGACTGTCGAAAGTGTTATCACACTAGATCATCAATAATACTTATCATTACATAATACAAAGAAATTATAAAACTGTCCAAAATGGAAACACGGAATAGTAGTTGCTGTTCTATGTTTCATACTAGAACAACTTTCCTTTTAAGACCATTTTTGGTATGCAGTCAATTTCCCAAACTAGTACTTTTCAAACTGCCCCTGATATCAGTTTAATTCTTCGTAGATGACTAAAGAGCCTTTCTTCAGATGCGTTGGAGTGTGGGAGGGATAACGTAAACGCGACTACTTTTGAACTGAACTTGTCCTGTACGTAAAAAATACATTTCCGGTGCAGAGATACTGGTCATTACTGGGCTTGTTTTTCAGAACCATAAGTATTATTAAATTGTGGCTGTTATGTCAGAATTCCCTTAAAAATGCATTACCTAAAACGTTACCTTCAAAGTACTTGAATTACCTTAAACTAAGGTAATTATCCTGAAAGTGAGAGCCCTGAAAACTTTCAATGATTGACACGAAGGCTGCCGGAGCCTTTAGCAAAGATACATTAACGAAGAGTCATACACAAGCCCCTTGAATCGATTGGAACACAAAGCCGCCGCCCACCGGCCCGCGCTCCGCAAGATCTCACCAACTGTGCAGTGAAAGTCTCGTACAAACGAAAACACTAAGCGCCTCTGGGCTAATCCGTTTCACGCAATTGCTAGACCAAAATGCAATATGTTACAAGACAGTATCATTGCACGGTACAACTGAAATACAGTATAATACCAACATAAATGTTTTTTTTTTTTAATCGAAACTGAAATAGCTCAAGTAAAAAAGTTAACCAGTACTCTAACACTCATTCATAAAAATAACAACGTGATTAAAAAAATCTCACAGTAGATATACCTCTTTTGGGTTTCATAGAGTCCGATTTTTTATACGTTATACAGAAAATATTTCCTTCACGTATCACATTTATTTGTAAAACTAGATTGAGGTTTATTGTCATAATATCAGTCAATGCTTCTTTACAGACAAAATAAAACAGATGCTCATTTCGTTTGAACATTATGATATACAATGCTTATTTGATTTCACGAAGCTGAGATTCCTTCACCTTCTTCTTCAGTAGTAACCATTTAAAATATCACAACAAACTCACCAGCCTTTGCTTTTCTCGTTCCTTTCAGTGTTTATTTATTTTTTGGTCTAGATTGTTTACCAAGAGGAAATGGTCTCTTGAGATAGCACACTCCAAGACACTCCTTAAACGAGCCCCATTCATCGACACCCAGAGTCCAACTACTAGCATCGCAAGCCTCTTGTGATAATGACAAGCATTTACTAGATATTCAAGCGTCCATTTCGTATAAACGATTATATCCCTTTGGTGAGGAACTGCATGTCTGCTTGCATTACGAACACTCTCCTCATCAATTTGGTCGTGTGAATGGAGTGTCGCTTCTAGACAACGCGATAGCTCCGGAGAAAAAAAAAAGGAAGCCTTCGCCCTAATGAGAGGGAAGGAAAATTCAGGTTTTGCAACGAGTTCCCAAAGTGCTTTTGTTTATTTGCCCGGGTCATAGTGCCAGGGCCATTAACGCCAAAACCTTCGTCCTCCTCTTTAGTGTAATCGCCTTCCTCTCTTGAGCGCAACGGAGCGGCAGAGAGAGTTAGTGTTGTCTCCGCCAAGCCTTGCCATAATGTAGCATGACTCGACTCTTTCTGCCAAGTGGAGAGCTCGCTGGTAGTGTCGGGCGGGCCTTTCCCTGTGCCACTACCTCTCAGAGGGCCTTTTTATCATATACGTATCCAAATTGAGGGATACTCAGCAACATGAAATTAAATATTAAGATAAAGATGTGTGTGTGTGTGTGTGTGTGTGTGTGTGTGTGTGTGTGTGTGTGTGTGTGTGTGTGTGTGTGTGTGTGCGTGTGCGTGTGCGCGTGCGCGCGCGTGCATATACATATGAATATATCACATGTACATTCATATATACAACCTGAGCAAACCACTGTTCATTCTGGTCCCCGGACTCACTTGAGCGAGGCAGAGCAACCGCGAGAGCATTCCCAGGATAAGTACATAGCGGCGCAAAAATAGCACACAGTAGACTCATGAAGAGCTTTCCCCAGGGCGCGGTCAGTGCTTCGCTTTGCTCGTTGCGAGGATATTTTACCTTCGAAACAAATTTGTCTTTGGCCTGTGTGATGTCTAGGAAATGTGTTCGGATTGCTTGCTAAGACAAAGACAGGTTGTAATAAATTATTTACTGGCAAACTGTCGCCGAAAAAAGGATATACTGAAACATCAGTTTGGCTTCATAGGCTGTTTGATTTCTTTCCTATACACCTAGACAGTTGCCTCTGCCTCCCCTTATTGAACACGGACGTAAGATCTGATTTAATATGAAATTAATGACTAATGATTATAGACTGTTAATTGTAAGTAGTGACTAATTTTACCTCTTTACAATAAGATTCAATGTAAGAAAATACCATGCACCAATTAGTAGATGAATATTAAGCACATATGATGACGATATTGATAAATATTAGTACGTGAAAAGTTTAGATATATTTAATAGGACAATGATAGAAAAGAGACGCCGCATTCGAGGCATCACGAAAAGAATGCATTTCAATGGACATGCGTATATACAATGACGCTAATTCTACCATCATATATATATATATATATATATATATATATATATATATATATATATATATATATATATATATATATATATATATATATATATATATATATATTATATATATATATATATATATATATATATATATATATATATATATATGTATATATATATATATATATATATATATATATATATATATATATATATATATATATATATATATATGTGTGTGTGTGTGTGTGTGTGTGTGTGTGTGTGTGTGTGTGTGTGTGTGTGTGTGTGTGTGTGTGTATATGTATATATATATATATATATATATATATATATATATATATATATATATATATATATATATATATATACTTTAGATACTTTAGATACTGTACAAATGTAAAATATCTGTCATTATGAAGATAGTGGAGGGGATTGAGACAAAAAAGGTAAACATTATCACTTCTTCCTTGAAACGCCCGCAGAGTAACTGCGACTTACTGCCCACTATCATAAATTCACAAAAATCGTATATCGTTTGTGAAGGCAGATCACGTTAAACCGCCAGCAAGAGCCCGAATGAACAAGGTATATATGTGTAGACGGTCCTTGTACTCTGGTCAGGCAAACCCGGCCAGCATCTTGTCTGCGCAATGTTACTCGGCGACATCAACTGGCACGCACACCCACCCGGCCTGCGCCCCTAATCCCCTCGAATGGCTTGTGTTTCTTTATTTTTTGGAAGGTTGAGGATAGGGGAGGGGCTAGGGGGTTTAAGCAGTGGGTTTTAGGAACAGCAGGGCTATGTTCTCCTCTTTTAGGGTTGAAAGTGCTAGTTGCTTAAAAAACGAGACAGATAGACGACAGATTTATCAGAACAATTGTGCTGGCCTCCTCGAAAGAGCTGGCAGAAACGGCCGGTGAAGCGCATCCCAGACCTGCACTCCCGGGCGCTCCGGTCTCTTATCCGAACATGCAGACGCCGGTGTGCGTCTGGAGTGAATCTGCAATTCTGAAAGAGAATTAGTGGTATTAGACATACATGATATTGTATATGTATATACAGAATATATATATATATTATATATATATATATATATATATATATATATATATATATATATATATATATATATATATATATATATATATATATGATATTATATGCATACTTACATTTGTATTTATTTACATACATATATTATATATATATATACATACACATATATATATATATATATATATATATATATATATATATATATATATATATATATATATATATATATATATATATATACATATATATATACATATGTTCACACACACACACACGTTCCTACGCGCACACCGCCGTCTGCATGTGTGAACAAGAGACCCGAGGGCCGGGAGGACAGGACTGGGAGTCGCTCGACTGGGCTGCTCTGTGCCAGCTCTTTCGAGGAGGCGACCGGGATTGCTCTGGTAAAGCTATCGCTCACACAAACATATAAATATATGTATCATGCGCGCGTGTGTGTGTCCGTATATGTATATATATATATATATATATATATATATATATATATATATATATATATATATATATATACATACATATATATATATATATATATATATATATATATATATATATATATATATATATATATATATATATATATATATATATATATATATTATATATATATATATATATATATATATATATATATATATATATATATATATATATATATATATATATATATATATATATATATATATATATATAGTACACGCACATAATTGCACACACACACAAGAAAGTGTATATATAAATATATATATATATATATATATATATATATATAATATATATATATATATATATATATATATATATATATATATATATATATATATATATATATATATATATATATATATATATATTTATGTTATACATACATGTGTATATATAACACACACACATGCACACATAATGAAAAATAGATAGATAGACAGATACGGATAAATATATATGATTTGGAAAAGGTAATCCGCATTTATGAGCACTGTATCCCTATTGCATCAAAGAGCGAGAGTCGTCCTCACAGATATGATAATTTTAACACTTTCTATTCTTCGACGTCACATGATCTTGTTAAGCTCG